ACTGAAGCACTCCCAGGCGGGTCGGGCGGGGCAGTCCGCAGGTGTAGATGGAAGAGGCCAGGCTCAGAGATCCCGTCATCGTACCATGAAACAGACAATGGGACAACGGGTGAATAGCAATGAACAAACTACAGTCAGAATCCTAAAAATGCTAAACAGATAAAGTAGGAAGGAGGAGAGGATAGTGCTCAAGTTACCATACTTCTCCCAGCAAACTGACTCCCTATGCAGCTTGACTAACACTCTGAGGAGTTTAACCTTCTCCAAGTCTTACCTTCCTAGCCATATGCTAAACTAAAGAGGACTGTTTTAAACCTAGCCTTGAATAAAGAATAACATACAGCATAATATATAACATAATATACAACATAACACAATACATTATTGAATAATATTTAACATAATATATAACATAATACAGCATATATATATATAATATATACACTACATATTATATATTACCTAATTATATGCTAAATTAAAGTAAAGTGCTTTAAGCCTGGCCTTGAATGTGGAGACCGTATCTGCTTCCTTAACATAAATGGGAAGCTGATTCCACAGTAAAGGAGCTTGGTAGCTAAATGCTCTGCCACCAACAGTGACCTTTGAGACCTTAGGGACCACCAGACGTCTGGCGTTTTGTGAGCGCAACGCTCGACCTGGTTGATACGACACTAACGTGTCTTGGAGATAAGAAGGAGCCAAGCCATTTATGGCTTTATATGTTAAGAGTAGGATTTTAAACTTTATTCTGTACTCCACAGGGAGCCAGTGGAGTGATTTTAACACCGGAGTTATGTGCTCCCTCCTTTTGGTACCTGTTAAGATCCTAGCTGCTGTATTCTGAACGAGCTGGAAGCTCTTCAAAGAGGCTTTAGGGCACGCTGCCAGTAAAGCGTTACAGTAGTCGAGCCTTGAGGTGACAAACGCGTGAATGAGTTTTTCCGCGTCACTTTTAGGAAGGAAATTCCTAATTTTAGCGATGTTCCGTAAGTGGAAGTACGCCGTTTTAGTTGCTTGGCTTATATAAGCCTTGAAGGAGAGTTCTTGGTCAAAAATGACTCCAAGATTCCTCACAGTGTTACTGGGTATTATACTGACATTATCGAGAGTAACCATCTGGTTAGTGAGGGAGTCACGCAGGCGCTTCGGACCGAGTAGGATCACTTCTGTCTTCTCCGGGTTGAGAAGTAGGAAGTTAAGAGTCATCCACATTTTAAGGTCCTTTATGCAGGCACTGAGCTTTTCTAGCTGATCTGTCTGATTAGGCTTCATCAACAGATAAAGCTGTGTGTCATCTGCATAGCAGTGGAAATTAATTCCATGCTTTTTAATAATGTTTCCCAGTGGCAGCATGTAGAGAGTAAAAAGAATCGGTCCGAGTACCGAACCCTGCGGCACACCGAATTCTACTCCAGAATAAGGCGACGAGTCCTGATTCACATTGACGAAGTGATATCGATCTGATAAATAGGATTTAAACCAGCCAAGGGCTGTTCCTCTAAGACCTATATCACATTCTAGCCTCTGCAGTAGAATGCTGTGGTCTATTGTGTCAAATGCAGCACTAAGGTCCAGTAGGACCAGCACTGACACTTGTCCATTATCGGCAGCTAGTAGTAAGTCATTTGTGACTTTGACTAGTGCCGTTTCAGTGCTATGATGAGCTCTGAATCCTGATTGAAAGACTTCAAACATATCATTTTCCTGCAGGTGGCAGCGGAGCTGCTCAGCTATAAGTTTTTCCAGGATTTTAGATATAAAAGTGAGGTTTGAGATCGGTCTGTAGTTTGTAAGTATTTCTGGGTCCAGGTTTGTTTTCTTCAGAAGGGGTTTGATTACCGCGGTTTTAAAAGCTTGTGGGACATAGCCACATTGTATGGATGCGTTTATTATATTTACGATAGGCTCAATTATCAAAGGAAGTATGTCTTTGAAGAGCCATGTCGGGACTGCGTCTAACATGCAAGTTGAGGCTTTTGAGGATGTGACCACAGAGATCACCTCTGCTTGGCTCACAGCCATGAATTTATTAAGGCCCACTGAAGAGTCTAAGTGGGAAGTCACGTATGCCGCTTCAGCCTGTCCACCACTAACAGCAGGAGCAACCTCCTCCAGCTTGTCACGGATGGATGTAATTTTATTATTAAAGAAGTGGAGAAAGTCGACACTGCTCAGTGAGCTTGGAATTTTAGGCTCGATTGCGCTATGGCAGTTTGTGAGTTTAGCGACGGTACCAAACAAAAATCTACTGTTGTTTTTATTCGCTTCTATTAAAGTTGAATAGTATTGAGTTCGAGCCCCGCGAAGGGCCTTCTTGTAGTTTCGGAGACCTGCTTTCCACTCCCTGTGGACAGGCTCCGAGTGGGAGTGGCGATATAGCCTCTCCAATATTCTGACGTCCTGTTTTAAAGTGTGGAGTTGAACACTGTACCAGGGCGACGATGATCTAATCCTAATGGTTTTCTGTTTTAAAGGAGCTGCTGCATTTAATGCAGATTTTAAAGACTCCATACTGTTGTCCACCGTTTGGTCAATGACTGAGGGACTGCAGCTGCTGTGAACAGGTTCACCTGCAGCAGTATTCAACATAGGCTGTATTAGTTCTTTGAACCTTGTGATAGATTTATCATTTAAGGTTCTTTTCATTATGGTTTTATCTTGCGGGACAGGAAAGTCCTCCAAAGCGAGATCAAACGTGATCAAGAAATGGTCAGACAGCAACGAGCTTTGACGCTGGATGTCAACATTGGAGACATCACAGCCGTAGGTCAGGACAAGGTCCAAGGTGTGGTTATGAATGTGAGTAGGTTCCTCGACATTCTGAGTAAAACCAACACCATCTAGTACGGCGCTGAAAGCTTTGTTTAAGCTGTCAGTGCTGTCGTCCACATGTATATTGAAGTCTCCAGCTATAACTATGTTTTCCCATTCCAAAACTAGGTTTGAAATGAAGTCAGAGAATTCTGTTAGGAACTCGCTGTAAGGACCAGGAGGTCGGTATAAAACTATAAATAGTACTGCTTTTTGTTTTCTCCACCCAGGACAGGTGATTGAAAGTGTTAAGTTTTCAAACGAGTGAAAAGCGTTGTTGGTTTTGGGACTAAGAACCAAGTTGGTGTGTGATATAATCGCAACACCACCGCCGCGACCTGTAGCTCTGGCTTTCTGGTAGTTAACATGCGTCGGAGGAGTGCACTCATTCAATCTGACGTAGTCGTCCTGTTGGAGCCAAGTCTCCGAGAGCGCAAACAGATCCAAGCCCTTGTCTATAATAAGTTCGTTTATGAGAAGCGATTTAGACGAGATTGATCTGACGTTCATTAAACCACATTTAACAACCCAACCGCTAGAACTATTTCTGTCTGTCTGAACTTTTATTAAGTTACTGTGTCTGACACCTAGGTCAGATTTCCTCGCATATAGTGCTTTAGACTTCAAGCGGGGAACACACACAGTTTCAATCTGACTAGGTTCTGAGGCTAGTAACTGAGCACACACAGGCACACACACACATGCACACACAGTTTCAATCTGACTAGCCTCTGAGGCTAGTAACTGAACAGATGGGGGCTCAGAGGTTGTGGCAGAGCAGCTCTGCACCCGGGCCTCAGTTCTGCATCGTCATTTGAGCCGAGCAGAACAGTTTAGAGCCAGGGCCAAATTCTTAGCCAAAAGGGATGTACCCGCCAACGTTGGGTGGATATCATCCGAGCGGATGAGACCGGGCTTTCCCCAAAAGGCACTCCAATTGTCAACATGAACAACACCACTTCGAGGGCACCAGCCAGACAGCCAGCGGTTGAAAGCCGAGTGTCTGCTGAATGCTTCTGCACTGCTAGTGCTAGGTAGGGGCCCAGAGAAGATGACAGTGTCGGCCATATTAACTGTTGAGAACAGAACACGCAGATTGTTACTGCAGCCTTCAATCTTTTCAGAAAAATACCTTTCTCTTGTACTACGTAGCACCCGGTTAAACTCGTACAACTTATCTTTGAAGATCTCGTAATCAACCTGGAGGTTGGACTTGCGCCACTTCCGCTCGGCCCTCCGGCACTCTCTCTTTTGTGCCCTGACCGAGTCTGCTTTAGCCCACGGCGCCTTCTGCTTATTTTTCACTATTTTAACCTTCACAGGAGCGATGGTGTCCAGAACATTCAAAACACTAGAGGTGACAGAGTTAAACATTTAATCTACAGTAGAACACGATGCATTCTCAAAGTTTATCATTCCCATAAATATTTCACCCGTATTTTCATTTATACATCTTCTTCGAACAACTGCAGCGTCTTCTGGTGGTTTGTTAGTGAAACACACAAAATACACAAAAATGATCCGAAAGAGCAACATCAACTGTGTTCACATTTGCAATATTCACCCCCTTAGTAACTAACAGGTCTAGAGTGTGTCCTCTGCTGTGGGTGGGGCCACTCACGTGCTGAGTAAGACCAAAACATTCAAGAACAAAACTCAGCTCTTTTGCATTTCTGTCATTAACATTATCCACATGAATATTAAAATCACCTGTAATAACCAAACTATTAAAATCTGTGCATACAACTGAAAGCAACTCTGTAAAATTATCAATAAAACTGTGACATGACTGCGGTGGCTTGTATAGGACAACAAAAAGTATTGGAGGAGATTGTTTTTGTTGTATTTTAAAAGACACATATTCAAACGACGTAAACTTCTCAGGAGACATTTTGCGTGAGACAAAGTGGTCTCTGAAAATGGCAGCTAAGCCTCCTCCCTTTTTATTTTCCTGTATTTCTGATTCAAATTTGAAATTTGGTGGTGATGCTTCTATTAAGACTGCATTTTCTGTATCTTGGTCAAGCCATGTTTCAGCCATGAACATAAGATCAAGATTATGAGAACAAATAAAATTATTGATTAAAAAAGAATTTAGCATAGCGAGTTTCAAAGTGTCAGTATCAGCGGTTGCGGTCGGCTGATTCTTACACGGAACAAGAATTAGATTTTCATGATTAGACTGATTAACTCCAGTTGTCCAGCACCTCCTCTATCACTTCCTCCATCACCTCCTCCATCACCTCCTCCAGCACCTCCTCTATCACCTCCTCCATCACCTCCTCCAGCACCTCTTCTATCACCTCCTCCATAACCTCCTCCATCACCTCCTCCAGCACCTCCTCCTTCACCGTGTGGTTTGCTGGAGCCACAGTCAGGGACAAACAGAGACTACAGCGCATTGTGCGCTCTGCAGAGGAAGTGATCGGCCGCAGCCTTCCATCGCTACAGGACCTGTACGTCGCCCGAGCTCGAGGCCGGGCTGGTCGTATCACAGCCGACCCCTCTCACCCTGCACATGGACTATTCCAACCACTCCCCTCAAAGCTCCTGGCCTGGACCACGTGTCTCCGGCCACTCTGAGATACTGCATCAGTGAGCTTACTCATGTGTTCACAGACATTTTCAACAGCTCTCTGCAGTCCTGCCATGTCCCGGCCTGCTTCAAATCCTCCATCATTGTCCCCGTCCCGAAGAAGCCCAGAATCACAGGACTCAACGACGAAAGACCTGTAGCACTTACGTCTGTCGTCATGAAGTCATTTGAACGCCTGGTTCTCTCCCATCTCAAGTCCTTCACCTCCCCCCTCCTGGACCCCCTGCAGTTCGCCTACAGAGCCAACAGATCTGTAGACGACGCCATTAACCTTGCCCTCCACCACATCCTACAGCACCTGGACTCCCCGGGGACCTACGCCAGGGTCCTGTTCGTGGACTTCAGCTCTGCCTTCAACACAATCCTGCCATCCCTGCTCCAGGACAAGCTCTCCCAGCTCAACGTGCCCGATTCCACCAGCAGGTGGATCACTGACTTCCTGACGGACAGGAAGCAGCGAGTGCGTCTGGGGAAGAATGTCTCGGACTCTCGGATTATAAATACAGGAGCCCCACAGGGCTGTGTTCTTTCTCCCCTGCTCTTCTCCCTGTACACCAACCACTGCACCTCCAGCCACGACTCCGTGAAGCTGATCAAGTTCGCGGACGACACCACCCTCATTGGACTCATCTCCAACAACGATGAGTCCGCCTACAGGAGGGAGGTGGACCGGCTGGTGTCCTGGTGCAGTGGTAACAACCTGGAGCTGAACGCCCAGAAGACAGTGGAGATGATTGTGGACTTCAGGAAGAGCACTGTCCCCCCTCCGTGATGGACTCCCCCATCACCTCTGTGGAGTCCTTCCGTTTCCTGGGCACCACCATCACCCAGGACCTCAAGTGGGAGCCGACCATCAGCTCCCTCATCAAGAAGGCCCAGCAGAGGATGTACTTCCTGCGGCAGCTCAGGAAAGCCAAGCTGCCTGCACAGATGTTGGTGCAGTTCTACACGGCCATCATCGAGTCCATCCTCACCTCCTCCGTCACCGTGTGGTACAAACAGAGACTACAGCGCTGATTCTGATTCTGATTCTATATATATCTATATATATATATATATATATAAATAATAAATAATTGTCCACTCACCTTTGGCCCTCCGCGGGCGGTTATCCCTCTCTAAGCTCGGGTCCTCTACCAGAGGCCAGGGAGCTTGAGGGTTCTGCGCAGTATCTTTGCTGTTCCTAGCACTGCACATTTCTGGACCGAGATGTCCGAGGTTGTTCCGGGGATCCGCTGTAACCACTCATCTAGCTTCGGGGTCACTGCCCCGAGTGCACCGATCACCACGGGCACTACTGTCCTGGAGGGACCTTTACCCTCCAGGCCCTCTCCAGCTCCTCTCTGAGACCTTGGTATTTCTCAAGCTTTTCATGTTCTTGTTTCCGGATGTTACCATCGCTTGGAATTGCCACGTCCACCACCACGGCTGTCCTCTGCCCTTTGTCTACCACCACGATGTCAGGTTGGTTTGCCATTACCATTCGGTCGGTCTGTATCTGGAAGTCCCACAGGATCTTCGCATGCTCATTTTCCACCACCTTTGGAGGAGTTTCCCACTTAGACCTTGGGGTTTCCAGCCCATACTCTCCACAGATGTTTCTGTACACTATGCCAGCCACTTGGTTATGGCGTTCCATGTAGGCCTTCCCTGCCAGCATCTTGCACCCTGCAGTTATGTGTTGGATCGTCTCAGGTGCCTCTTTGCACAACCGACACCTTGGGTCTTGTCTGGTGTGGTATATCTGGGCCTCTATCGCTCTGGTGCTCAGTGCCTGTTCCTGTGCAGCCATGATGAGTGCCTCTGTGCTGTCCTGTAGGCCAGCCCTTTCTAGCCATTGGTAGGACTTCTTGAGATCAGCCACTTCTGTTATGCTCCGGTGGTACATGCCGTGTAGGGGCTTGTTCTCCCATGATGGGCTCTCCTCCAGCACCTCCTCATCTCGCCACTGCCTGAGACATTCACTGAGTACGTCATCCGTTTTGGCCTTCTCCATGATGTAGTTATGGAGTTTGGATGTTTCGTCCTGGACAGTGGCTCTCACACTCACTAGTCCTCGGCCTCCTTCTTTACGGGTTACGTACAGTCTCAGGGTGCTGGATTTGGGATGGAACCCGCCATGCATGGTAAGGAGCTTTCGAGTTTTAACATCCGTGGTCTGAATCTCTTCCTTTGGCCACCTGATTATTCCTGCAGGGTATCTGATCACTGGCAGGGCGTAGCTGTTAATTGCCCGGGCCTTGTTCTTGCCATTGAGCCGGCTTCTTAGGACCTGCCTTACTCGCTGGAGGTATTTGGCAGTTGCCACTTTCCTCGTCACCTGTTCGAGGTTGCCATTTGCCTGTGGTATACCGAGATACTTGTAACTGTCCTCAACGTCTGCTATTGTTCCCTCTGGGAGTGAGATCCCTTCTGTGTGGACTACCTTGCCTCTCCGAGTCACCATCCTGCTACATTTCTCGAGCCCGAATGACATCCCGATGTCATGGCTGTAGATCCTGGTTGTTTGGATCAGAGAGTCGATGTCTCTCTCGCTCTTGGCGTACAGCTTGATGTCATCCATGTAGAGGAGGTGACTGATCTTTGCTCCGTTCCTGAGGCGGTATCCATAGCCAGTCTGGTCAATTACTTGGCTTAGAGGGTTGAGGCCTATGTAGTGGGGACAGAGCATCTCCTTGGTAGATACCACATTTGATGGTCACTTGTGCGAGCGGCTTGCCATTTGCCTCAAGGGTAGTCTTCCACATTCCCATCGAGTTTGCAACGAAGTCCCTTAGAGCCCTGTTGATATTGTACAACTTCAAGCATTCCATGATCCATGTGTGTGGCATTGAGTCGTAGGCTTTCTGGTAATCAATCCAGGCTGTGCACAGGTTGGTGTGTCGTGACCGGCAGTCTTGGGCGACTGTTCTGTCAACCAGGAGCTGGTGTTTGGCTCCTCTGGTGTCCCTACCAATGCCCTTCTGTGCTGTGCTCATGAATTGTTCCATATGCCCACTTATCTTAGCCGCAATGATGCCTGACATGAGCTTCCATGTTGTGGAGAGACAGGTTATTGGCCGGTAGTTGGAGGGGACTGCACCCTTGACAGGGTCCTTCATGATCAGGACCGTTCGCCCTTCGGTTAGCCATTCTGGGTGAGTCCCATCTCTCAGCAGCTGGTTCATTTGTGCTGCTAGGCGCTCATGGAGTGATGTGAGTGTCCTTAGCCAGTAGGCATGGACCATATCAGGGCCAGGTGCTGTCCAGTTTTTCATACCTGAGACTCTTTCTCGGATGTCTGCCTCTGTGATGGTAACTGAGTTCTGTTCTGGGAGGTGGCTGTGCTCCTCTCTCAGGGACACCAGCCATTGTGCACTTCTGTTATGTGCTGCATCCTTCTCCCATATGTTCCTCCAGAACTGTTCAGTTTCCAGCCTCGGTGGATCTGCTCCCCTGTTGTTACCCTGCCACTGAGCGTACACCTTCGCAGGTTGTGTTGCGAACAGCCTGTTCACCCTTCTGGCTTCATTCTCTTTAGTGTACCTCTGTAGGCGGCTGGCCAGGGCTTGGAGCCTTTGTTTGGCAGTTTCGAGTGCTTCAGGTATGGTCATCTGGCTGTACTTTCTGGGTACTGGTCTTTTCATTGCACCTCTCTGGGCCTCTGTTAATTGACTCACTTCTCTCCGAGCCGCCTTGATCTTAGCCTCCAACCGTCTTTTCCATGGTGGGTATTGTCCATGGCTCCCATGGTTGCTCTTATAGCCAAGCATCTCTAGGATCACTGCTGCTGAAGTGTATATCAGCTAATTGGTTTCAGTGATTGTGGTGGTAGGTATTGCCCTCACTGCTGCATTCACGCTTTCTATGAGATCCTTAGGTGGTACTTCACACAACCGCTGTAACCGGTGTCTTTGCCCTGTGCCCATTCTAGCCATGATCTTAGCTTTCAGGTCAGTCGCTGCCTCGTTCAGCGTTATCGGTTCCATTGGGGCTATGTACCCAATATCTGGTTGGGGAGTTGCAGTTGGTGGGATCTCCCCTCTGACCTCGGCAACTGTGGCATCATATATGTGTTGTACTTCATCAATCTCAAGCTGTGATAGCAGTTGCCGTTTGTGGATGTTGGAGCATTGAGCTACCAGTTGTTTCGGGGTCAACTGTGACTGTGGGTTTCGAAGTAACCATTCAGCCCACATTCTCTGCATGTAACCTCTTTGGCCAGGGTTACTCGAGTAGTAGCATTCCAACAGAGCCCTGTTATCGCATCTCGTCCACTTTCGCCTTGTTCCAGTAGCCCACTTTTCATCAAGGTGCTCTGGTTCCCCAGCACCTGACGCAGACCTTGTTTGGCCGGGCGACGGCTGATCCGGCATCTCATTGCTTATTTGTACCTTCATGGTTATGAGTTAGGCAGTAGCATTAAGGGTCTTGCCCAAGGACCCTCACTGGATGTTGGTGTTAATGTGCTCCCGGTGGGATTCGAACCCTGGCCTCCCAGGTCCCAGTCCTGTGCCCTACCAACTGAGCTATCCAGCTGCTTATATATATATATATATATATATATATATATATATATATATATATATTATATATATATATATATATATTTTGTATATAATAAACTGAAGACATTTATATACATTTTTAATTATGTTTTAATTCTGTTTTTATCCTTTGTTTTTATTCTGATTTAACTTCTTTGTGCCAAGAGCCAAAGACATTTCCTTTTTAGTGACTTCCTGTTACTCACATGCCAATAAAAGGATTCTGATTCTGATGTGACATCACACAGGGTCTACAGGTGATGAGGCCTGATCCTATGTGATCATGTGACATCACATGATCACATGTGATGTGGCCTGATCCTATGTGGTGCTGAGGCCTGATCCTATGTGATCATGTGACATCACACAGGGTCTACAGGTGCTGAGGCCTGATCCTATGTGATCATGTGACATCACACAGGGTCTACAGGTGCTGAGTCCTGATCTTGTGTCCATCCAGGAGATAAGTGTGTGTAATGTGCTATAGGAATAAAATACTGTCACAGTGTTTTGAGATAAAGGACACAGAGGATCATGACAGAGTGAGATCAGATTTATTTATCTACAACAGTCGTGCACAGCACATACACTGACACCTGTATAAAACTACAGGATAAAACTACAGCAGAAATAAACAGTGATGACACAAAAGGATAAGAGGAAAATCAGCAGCTGTCATTAAAAACCAGAGACCAGCGAGAAACCAGAGAGAGAGACCAGAGAGAGCTCAGAGACCAGAGAGAGAGACCAGAGACGAGCGAGAGACCAGAGAGAGACCAGGGAGAGACCAGAGACAGACCAGAGAGACCCTAGAGGATCTACAGAACATAGACTGATTATGCAAATCGTCCGCGTCCAGGACTCAGTTTCTGACTCGTCTGAGACAGGCTCTGGGTCTTTGCATGATATTTGTTTGAGCGTGTGTGTGTGTGTGTGTGTGTGTTTTAGACACAAACTGGAATGTGAACATACAGTAAACGTCAGCAGGACTGTCTAGGTACCAGGTTTACTATAAGAGAGAGACCAGAGAGAGAGATCAGAGAAAGACCAGAGAGAGTGAGCAGAGAGAGACCAGTAACAATTCAGAGATAGACCAGAAAGAGACCAGAGAGAAAACAGAGAGAGACCAGAGAGAAACCAGAGAGAGAGACCAGAGAGAGCTGAGTTCGTATACGCGCAAGAAAGTACAGTAGTGTTGATGAGGCCCCAGGAGGGGTACCACCCCTCTCTCCCTCTCCCCCCCCCCTCCCATCCCCCCTCCCCGTCTGCTGTGTGCCTCAGAGATCAGCCCCCACCCCACACCAAATGCCAGCACCTTGAGTTACATAGAAGTTATATTTACAAAATATATAAAGAAAAATATAGGGTTACGGGCCCTAGCATATAGTCCAGTCCAGCAGCTGTGGATAGTTCTCCCATGATCCTCCTTCTAAAAGTACAGCGCTGTAAAGAGGAGAACATGCAGCCAGCAGGAGGAGAACATGCAGCAGCAGGAGGCCAGAGAGAGACCAGAGAGAGACCAGAGTGAGACCAGAGAGATACTAGAGAGAGACCAGACTGAGGCCAGGGATAGACCAGAGAGAGACCAGAGTGAGACCAGAGTGAGACCAGAGAGAGACCAGAGTGAGACCAAAGAGAGACCAGAGAGAGACCATAGAGAGACCAGAGTGAGACCAGAGAGGGACCAGAGAGAGGTGACTCTCACAGCTGTATAAAGTGATGAGCCGCAGACAAAGGCTGTGTCTCAGAATCAGACGGTGACGTCTTTTTTACGTAACGTTGACAAAGTTCAGGGTTCAGAGCGCGAGGGGCTATATATGGCCTCCTCCCCCCCTCTCCCCCTCTACAGGAGAAAGGTGATCCACACACCGCTCTCATGTACGAGTCCAAAACACAAACATCGTTTCACTTCAAAGGTTCAGGTTCATACTGAGGATGGAGCTGTTTCCACTGCAAGGTACTCTGCAGTACTCTACAGTACTTTACATTACTCTGCAGTATTCTACAGTACTTTACATTACTCTGCAGTACTCTACAGTACTCTGCAATACTCTACAGTACTCTGCAGTACTCTGCAGTACTTTACATTACTCTGCAGTACTCTGCAATACTCTACAGTATTCTGCAGTACTCTACATTACTCTGCAGTACTGCAAAGTACTCTGTAGTACTTTGCAGTAGTCTACAGTACTCAGTATCTAGTCTGTGTTGATTCTGTTAAAGATTAGTCTGCTTTACTCAGAGGTCAGAGTTTAGGTTCAGGTGTGTGTGTGTGTGTTTCCTAAACATTGAGTAAGACTTTTGTTGGAAAAGAGAAAATAAAAAACTGTAAATAAACATTGATTACAAGAAAAAGAAAAAAAAAACATTAAGTCCTCGACCCAAAGACCCCCACAGGAGACAGGAGACCCCCACAGGAGACCCCCACAGCCATCAGGGGTTGTCACTTATTCTGCTGTTTATCTGTGACTGGGATGGATCCAGTATAAACAACAGTGTAAACAACAGAGGACAACAAGACAATTACAAGTTTAATCAAAGTCGGAATAAAACTGTGACCCGTGTGCACCTTCGTGATTAGTTCGGAGGACTGTCTGTCTCTGTTCTCTCTCTCTCTGGTCTCTCTCTCTGGTCTCTCTGGTCTCTCTCTCTGGTCACTCTCTGGTCTCTCTCTGGTCTCTCTCTGGTCTCTCTCTGGTGTATAAAGTGTGTGGTGAGAGGTTTTACAGCCTTAACTTTCACTGCTTATGTGTTATTTTGAGAACACATCATCCCTATGATAAAGTGTAAGTTTGGTCTGAAGCCTGCAGAAGCTGCTGTGTGGGAGTGAAAGTGCACGTGGAGTTCCCCTCTGGCTTCATGTGAAGCTGAAGTCTATTTCAGAGGCTGTAAGAAGTTTGTGACGTCAGAGGAGTCACTATTTTCACTTGAGACTTGATCAGAGAGACCCAGACCCAGCCCCAGACCTGGGACTTGACTTGGACTTGGGACTAGCTGAGGCCCTGTGCTTGAAAGCAAGACAGCTCTGACAAAAAAACCACTGACAAAAAAAGCTCTGACAAAAAAGTACATCCAACTCATTATCGGTCCTCGGTTTTGTATCATAGGCATTATCATAATCCACTCTTCTCCATAGGGAGGGTTCATGTGACAATACAACGTCCCAAAGAGGCTGTGGTTAAAGACCTGGATGCAGCGGAAAAAAACATGTTTCTACTTTTAATCCACAGGGAACAAAAACTGTGACATGGTCTTCTTTGCACATATCAACTCTGGTCTCAGGACTCTAGATCCGGGGGAGGAAGTAGGTGAGGGTCATGTGACTCTAGATCCGGGGGAGGAAGTAGGTGAGGGTCATGTGACTCTAGATCCGGGGGAGGAAGTGGGTGAGGGTCATAGCGGGGGATACACGACTCCCCCGTTTGGTGCGACCGCTCTTGCTGAGGCCGATGAACATTCGCGGATACTTCAGCGACTCATATGCGTTGTAGTTATTCGCCAGAAGATTCTCCCTGAACGTGCACTCGCTGGTGAAGTAGAGCTGAGGAGAGAAGAGAGCTATCAGAGGAGCTACAGAGGAGCTAGAGGAGAGCTAGAGAGGAGCAACAGAGAAGCTACAGAAGAACTAGAGGGAGCTACAGAGGGATCTACAGAGGAGCTACAGAGGGAGCTACAGAAGAACTACAGAGGGAGCTACAGAAGAACTACAGAGGGGCTACAGAGAGAGCTACAGAAGAGCTCCATTGCCCTCCAGCTCCATTGATCAAAAACCACCTCCTTCTGCCTCACCCTTCCCTGCTTTCCCCTGCACCTCTAATTTCTAAAGACTAGGACAGAAAGGGTGTGTGTGCGTGTGCATGTGTGTGTGCGCGCGTGCGTGTCTGTATGTGTGTGTCTGTGTGTGTGATGCTTACAGAGCCGTACAGTTTCCCTCTATGGTTCATTGCCACAAACAGACCACTGCGGACCCCCAGCAGAGTGACCACTCCCCTCTCGACCGGAGAGATCTGAAGAAGACCTGCGCCAACACAAAGATCAGGGTCAGGGTTCAGGGTCAAAGACAAAAGCTGAGTGTAATGTCCTCCTCCACCACTGAGTGCTGTAATCCAGGCCACCTCTGATTCCACGCTCACACATACACACACACACACACACACACACACACACACACACACACACACACACACACACACACACACACACACACACACACACACACACACACACACACACACACACACACACACACACATTGTATTATGTTTGTGTTATGTTATGTGTCTGTGAAGAGTGTGTGTTCCTCCTGTTTCTCTCTAATGTCTTTTGTGTTAAGAGTGTGTAAACATTCTGTGGATCATGTTTAAAGATCAGAATAATACAAATTATCACGTGTTCATGTCTCAGAATAGAGCCGCTGCTCACGCGCTTCACTCACGCAGTTATTATTAAAGAAAGATAGACTAAGTATAAAGTATAAAGTATCACTGAGTGGAGTTCTGTCAAGTCTGAAGTCAGAGAAAAAAGAAAAAAAGAACGTTGGAGATTTCACCAACTACAGGATATCCCCCCGGGCCTCTGTCCCCGCTCCTCCTGCAGCATGAGGAGGTGCACTACAATCAGTGCAGCTTATTCCCGGTTTATGAGTTTATACAGTGACAGTAAAGGCAGCTGTGACACACACACACACACACAAACACTTACTGTAGCGGTTCTCCGTGTGCACGCCTGTGATGCGTCCGTCTGGCAGCACCTGGATGTGGAAGCCTATGCCCACGTTGCAATAGAGCCTGCGCAGCCTCCGGATGCCCTGCAGGTATCCGCGCTCCCGCCCGCTGTCCTCGCGCCGCTCCCCGGGGATCCGCGCCAAGGAGCGCGAGTACAGCGCCTCCCAGCGCTCCGCCGCTCTGGCCCCGGGAGCGCACCCCGCCAGCCCAGTGAGCCCCGTGAGCACCAGCAGCAGCAACAGAACGGTCCTTAGGCTCTTCAGGCTCCTCAGGCTCCTTGGGTCCCCAGGGGCCTCACTCCCCATCCCGGCCCTGCCCTCACCCTCCTGGGCACCGTGTGTCCCACACAGCGACACGAGCAGAAAGACGCGTCTGTGCGTAACCATGCCCGTGCACTCACGCACTGCTCCCTCTGAGCTCTGTGCCATCAGGCTATTTATACAGGCTCCTGTGATGTCACACTGGACAGGACTGGACTGGGACAGGACTGGGACAGGACTGGGACAGGACTGGGAAAGGGACAGGAATGGGACTGGGAGAGGACTGGGACAGGACTGGGACAGGACAGTAACAGGACTGGGACAGGGACAGGACTGGGACAGGACAGGACTGGGACAGGACTGGGACAGGACTGGGAAAGGACTGGGACAGGACTGGGAAAGGACTGGGACAGGGACAGGAATGGGACTGGGAGAGGACTGGGACAGGACTGGGACAGGACTGTCAATTTGTGTGTGTATGTGTGTGTGTGTGTGTGTGCGGGTGTATGTGCGTGTGCGTGCCTGTGTGTGTGTGTGCGTGTGTGTTTGTGTGTGCGTGCGTGCCTGTGTGTATCTATGATCTGTGTGTGAATGCGTTTCAGTGTGTGCATCTGTGTGCGTGTGTGCGCGTGCCTGTATGTATGATCTGTGTGTGTGTGTGCCTGTGTGTGTGTGTGTGTGTGTGTGCCTGTGTGTGTGTGTCTCTGTTTGTGTGTTTGATATCTACTTTCCCAGGCAAATGTGTGTTCAGTATTTGCATGTTCTGCTGATGCCAGTCGGTCAGTTCTGGACTTTGCATTTGTGGAAACAGCTGCGGAGCTTCATCGGTGACACATGTTTTATGGAATAAGAGATGACCGTGATGAGCAACCACACCCTCTACTGCTGGACGTGGGCATAACTCAGACAACTCAATGGGAAATCACACTGTAAATGATCAAACACAGGATTAGCAGCGGTTCTCAATGGACGGAGTGGGGCCCTGTGACATATGATACACTATTACTGATGCAAACGAGTGTGTGTATTTGTGTGTGTGTGTGTATGACCTCTGTGTGCGTGTGTTCTGTCTGTGTGTGTGTGTGTGTGTGTGTGTGTGTAAGTGTGTGTGTGTGTGTGTGTGTGTCTTGTGTGTGTGTTCTGTGTGTGTATCTGTGTGTGGGTGTGTCTGCTTGTGTTTGTGTGTCCGTCCTGTGTGTGTGTTCTGTGTGGGTGCGTGTGCATGTGTGTATCTTTCTGTGTGTGTGTCGGCGTGTGTGTGTGTGTGTGTGCGTGTGTGTATCTGTGTGTGTGTGTATGTGTGTCCAGTGTGTGTATTCTGTGTGTGTATCTGAGTGTGTGTGTGTATCTGTGTGTTTGTGTACGTGTGTGCGTGTGTGTGTGTGTGTGTGTGTGTCCTGTGTGTGTATTTTGTGTGTGTATTTTGTGTGTGTGTGTGTCCTCATCCCTCACCTCCTCCTCAACGCCTCATTACCTCTTCCCTCACCTCCTTATCTCCTCCTCCCTCGCCTTCTCATCTCTTCCTCCCTCACCCCTCCCTCACCTTCTCATCTCCTCCTCCCTCACCCCTCCCTCACCTTCTCATCTCCTCCTCTCTCACCCCTCCCTCACCTTCTCATCTCCTCCTCTCTCACCTCCTCATCTCCTCCTCTCTCACCTCCTCCTCTCTCACCTCCTCATCTCCTCCTCCATCTCCTACCCCAGATGCTTCCCACACCTCTCTGATATTAAAGGTCCCGTATGACACAGATCAGTGTTTGTTCAGGTCTGTACGGTAATGGCACCTTTATCTGTCGCATTAGGATTGTGACTGTAGTCTGTACATTGCTATTCACCCGTTGTCCCATTGTCTGTTTCATGGTGCGACGACGGGACCCCTGAACCTGACCTCCTCCATCTTCACCTGTGGACTGCCCGTATTGATCTCCCTATGGTCCAATACCATGTGGTCTCTCCCTATGGTCAGATACCATGTGGTCTCTCCCTTTGGTCCGAAACCATGTGGTCTCTCCCTATGGTCCAATACCATGTGGTTTCTCCCTTTGGTCCAATACCATGTGGTCTTTTTTATCATTTGTTTCATACAAACATACAGTCTGTTATGTCCCTGAGTCGACCTCTGAGTGATGTCACATCACGGTCCTTTGACAACATCAGAACATCAGGGGCCTCTCTCTCCATCTCACTGCTCTTCCATTCTCTGTGTGTGTGTGTGTGTGTCTATCTGTCTGTGTGTGTATCTGTGTATGTGTGTATGTGTGCACTTGTTTTCAACTCCTGGTGGGTTCCATAACCTGAGATTCCACTCACGTCATGGGGACTGGTTTTACGTGGTGGGGCCCGAACACCGGACCCCACTGGTCCAAGCTTAATAATCAATGGGTAATGCTTTTCTAACGGTCCTTATGCAGTCTCTGTAAAAATATGGAAAGGACCCCTGGAGGTTTACTTTCCTGAAAAAAGTGTGTTATGTGTCGGAACCCTGGTGGTGGGTTGCGGGATATCAAAGGAGGGGCACACTGGGGCAATTTCAGTCCAGCAGGCTGGAGCCAATCATGGAGCAGCACAACAGAGGAAATCAGGTGTCAGGCTAGAAAAAGGTGCAAGTGTGTGGTTCATTAGGCTGCAAGAAATCATGGAGGAGCACACTGAAGCGCACGCTTACAAACCACTGGTAAGTGCTGACTACAAGTCATGACTTCAAATTGTTATATAGAATTATTACAAATTATTTGTTGTTTGTGCAGCTTAGTCAAGAGTCCCTAATTGATGAAGTCGACTCAGATTCTGACGATTTAACTGTCAAGAAGAAACCTGTAAAAAAGTATGGAAAAAGAAAAATCAAAAACACTTTTCTTCAAGACTCGGAAAGTGACGAACCAAAGGCAATTAAGATTGTTATCATGCAGCTGCAAAAGAAGAAAAATGGGAGGCGAGTTTACAGCAAGAGACACTTCTGCCTCTACTGTTCAATGTCCTGCCACAAAATGTCCCGTCATTTGACTAGAAAACATGGAAATGAAAGTGACGTAGCCAGAGCATTGGCTCTACCTGTGAAATCTAAAGCACGTAAACTTCAGTTTGATTTGATCAGGAATAGTGGAAACCGTGAGCACAATTTTGAGGTTTTAAAGGCCGGCATTGGAACTTTAGTCCCAGCTAAACAGCCAAATTGCCCAGTTAAATCCAGTGAGTTTTTGCACTGTATAGACTGTGGGGCATTGCTTAAGCGAAAGTCGCTGTGGAGGCATGTGGCCAGGTGCCGGCTTTCACAGAAAGATGCCCAGGCTAAACCAGGTAGAAGTAGGGTCCAGTCCCTCTGCTCCCTAGCCCAGCCTGTACCGGAGGGCATCGGCAAAAAGCATACTTCTTTTCCCGCCCGGGCGCAGACACCCACATCAGGGGATCAGACTCCCTACGCCAGGTAGCCAAAGAATGTGGTGCGGTGCATCCAGAGATGCTATCCTCAACCAAACTTAGAAAGCACATAGCTACTATGTCTACAGTTCTCAATATGAAAGAGAATGAAATGGACATACTAGCCAACTTCCTCGGCCATGACATTCGCATCCACAGGCAATATTACAGACTACCAGAGGGGACACTGGAGCTGGCCAAAATCAGCAAAGTGTTGATGGCCATGGAGCAGGGAAGAGTGACGGAATTCGAAGGAAAGAGCCTCGACCAGATACAAATTGAGCCTGAAGGTAATTCTTGATATTATTAAAATATGTATGATTTTTTTCCCCTAAAGGCCACTTGTATTTTTATTTTCTGTGCGACAGGGAGAGCAGTAGAGATCCTCTCACAAACGGACGGGCTAAAAGAAACTTCAAGCGGAGAACCTTCAACCATTCATCCAGATGCACCCCATGGTAGTGGCAGTGCCCCTTCTGGTAAGTGTACCAGGTGGGGGATTACAGCCAGGCTGCTTGGTCCTAACCCTGGGAGTGTATATTGCTAATATATTGTTATTTCTCTCCCTAGAACGTGTAAGAAAGCCATGGTCTGCATCTGAGGTGAAGGCTGTGGAGAAGACCATGACACCTTTCATACAGACTGGAAAAGTCCCTGGGAAGTCTCACTGCCTGGCCTGCATTAATGCCTCACCAGATGACCTTAGACATCGGACATGGAGTGGCATTAAATTCTATGTCAAAAATAGAATCACTGCAATTCGAAAAAAAAATCTAAAATAAAATTCCTTTAAAATAGTTGTTTGGTTTCTATTGACTGTTTTGTATTACTTAAAGTAGTCCCAGTAAAAAAAGATTATGTCTATGGGTCCCATTCTGAACGGCCCTGTCAAAGGGACCCACCAGGTAACAAAAACGTGTATGTGTGTGTGTGTGTGTGTGTGTCTGTGTATGCGTGTGTGGCTGTGTATTTGTGTGTACGTGTGTGTGTGTGTGTAGCTTTGATCTTCTGGGAGGCTCCATGCATGACATGTTTTCCCACATTCACAAGCGGCTGCGCTCAGTGTGTGTCCCCTGGATGTACGAGGACCAGGGACCCTCAGCGTGTGTCCCCTGGATGTACGAGGACAAGGGGCCCTCAGTGTGTGTCCAAAGAACCTTAGCTTCTAAGTCATAAAGACACATGATTGGAACCAATCAGAACACATCACACAGCAACCAGTAGAGGGCGGATGGTGCCTCTGTCGCCAGTACACAGGACAATGCTAACCCGCTAGTTGAATGCTAACAAAGCCCAATAGGGAAATGCTCATAGTGAAGATTGGCTCCTCTCTCTCTTTTTCTTATTGGATAACATGTACAAGTAACTGCTGTCCACACCTGGTGCAGGACCTGATGAGGGGCGTGTTGCTGGTAATGGCTCCGCCCCCTCTGTCTAAAAGCTATACTTGTGTTTATCCTGATAGGCCCTGATCAGTACTGTCTGGGGGGGAAAAGGTCCTCAGTGCTCTCCAGAGGGACAGGTCCTGTGCAGACACTGCTCCCTCTGGTGGCATCACAGGGAGTTATAGGGAGCTCTGGGTGCAGACGCTGCTCCCTCTGGTGGCAGCAGAGGGATATATTCCACATCTTAACATAAGAAGGGATCATATTTAATTGACACTAATATGTAATAAGTGTTTAACACAGGACTAAATACTCAAGGTGCCGCCGTCACACGCTCAGACACACACACACACTCAGATACACACATACGCAGAGACAGACACACAAAACACACACACTTCCATGATAGTGTTGGCACTGTGTGGCTCTTGGACTCGGGCCAGGGACAGTGAACAGCTGCACTCACCGTAATACACACACACAGACAGACACTCAGACACACACACAAAGACACACACACATAAACATACAGACACACTCATGTTTCACTTGTACTTGTAGTAACCATAAACGCCTGCAGAGGGCAGTAAACAGCTGCAGATGGACAGCGGCCTCTAGGAGGCACTGTCCATCTGCAGGTCTCACCGTAAGACTGCGGCGTCAGAGACAACACGTGCATCTGATGAAACTACTACTACTGCTGCCACTACTACTACTATTACTACAACTACTACTACTACTACTCCAATCAGCACTCAGCCCAAAGAGGCAGATCCAGACTCTTTGGGATCTTTCGTCCACATCACAACATGCTTCATGAACGCGTGATGTGGACTCACACACATACACACTCGCGCTCACACACACACTCGCGCTCACACACACACACAGACTGGGATCTCTTTGAGGAGCCGCTCTTTATGAACTTGAAACAGAAAGAAAAAATCCCAAAAGTCTCCAGCGACACAGCTTCCCAGGCGCCCCTCGGGAAGTGCCATTGTCCCGACAGGAAGGCAGGTGTAGGGTGACAGGTGTGTGTATGTGTGTGTGTGCCCCCATCTGAGGGCCAGGGTTACTGCTGCTGTTGCTGCTGTCTGGGTTTCCTCCGGTCGCTCCGGTTTCACCCAGTGTTTCTATTCCTGTGTTTTCATGATGTAAAAACTGTTTAGAGTCAGAGACATGGGTTTAATACAGAGTTCTATTGTTCTGAAAGTTACAGACCCCAGCTTTAACGTCACAGACGTTAAAGCTATAACAGATATAGCTATAACTCAATTGTTTTTTGTGGTGTATGTGGTAACTATGGAAACCAAGCATCGACCCAGGGGAAAGTCATTTTATGCATAAAAAGTAGTTATCTGTCATTGTCATCATCATCATCATCATCATCGTCATCATCGTCATCATTATCATCATCATCAGTGAATGTGTTAATAACTTACAGCACAAATAAATATACATCTCATCAGTTAAATATACAAAAGTACTTCTTTAGATTCAACAGTAGACATCACATCATCTCACTAACACTTCTCAAAGTGCTCTGCGGTCCCTCCTCCTCCTTCTCCTCCTCCTCCTCCTGCTGGTGTCAACAGTCCTCATAATGTCCGTCACATGTGCACACTATCATTCCTCTGATTTGTTCATTTGTGCTGGTCTCTCTCTCTGGTCTCTCTCTCTGGTTCTCTCTGGTTCTCTCTGGTCTCGCTCTCTGGTTCTCTCTGGTCTCGCTCTCTGGTTCTCTCTGGTCTCTCGCTCTGGTCTCTCTCTCTGGGTTCTCTCTGGTCTCTCTCTGGTCTCTCTCTCTGGGTTCTCTCTGGTCTCTCTCTGGTCTCTCTCTCTGGTTTCTCTCTGGTCTCTCTCTGGTCTCTCTGGGTGCTGGTGCACAGTGACTAGAATCCTTCTGTTGAACCAAATAGAGACTGTTTTGTTTTGTTTTGTCCCTATGGTCCCTATGGTCCATATCACACAGCCCTGACCCAGGGAACAACCGGCCTGGGATGAGGAGGACTGAGGACTGTGGACTAAGGAGGACTGAGGAGGCAATGGAAACAATCCAAGTGAGCTCATTATACTTGTGGTTGCCCTGATAGACCCTGATCAGTACTCTCTGGGGGGACAGGTCAGTACTGTCCAGGGGAAAGGTCAGTACTCTCCGGAGGGATAGGTCAGTAATGTCCAGAGGGACAGGTCCTCAGTGCTCTCTGGGGGGACAGGTCAGTACTGTCCAGAGGGACAGGTCGTCAGTGCTCTCCGGGGGTACAGGTCCTGGTTCCTGCTCTGTGATTGGTCGGTGAGGCCTCAGCGCGTTAGTTGTGTCTTTGGTGCTGCACTGAAAACAACAACAACAGAACAATAAACACCTACAGTATGAAAGTGTTAGGACTGTTGTGTTTGCACTTTAGAATAAGATTTACAAATACAACCACTGGATCTTCTATTACAGGGACTTGTGGTTATGTCTGGGGTCTAGGGGGTGGGATCAGGGGTCTGGGGTCTCCAAGTGATAGTCTTTAGATCCTATTTAAAGACAAAGTACAAACACAACTTACTGCAGCCTGAACTCCCGAGTCTGTGATGTCTGTGTTCGCCTGCGGTGCCTCCTCCTCTCCCGCTGATGGTGCTGGTGCGCGCTCTCCCGCAGCCTGCGCACCATCTCGTGGTCTCGGTGTCCCAGGACCCGCGGCAGGAAAAGCGAGGCCTTGTCGGTACTGCGTGTGCGGAAGCCTCTGCGCGGCCGTCCTTTCCCGTTGATTGACACAAACCACTGGCGCTTGGCACTGGCGCGCCTCCTGCCTGCGGGCTGCGCCTCCTCCGTGCTGCTGCGCCTCCTGCCTGCGGGCTGCGGCTGCTCTGTGCTGTGATGGCGAGACGCATACGTGTTGTAGCCGAGCTCATGGATGCGCTCCACAAACTCACACTCAGGGTTAAAGGTTTCCTGAGGAGACACATGAAGCTTTAAGTAACAACAAAGACGTCATCGGCCTCAGTCCTCCCTGTACCAAAGCTCATCATCACTGTTCGAGCAGCAACCCACCTCCTCCCCATCACTGCCTATTCAGTCGAGTACCATGTTGTGTAAGTGTTGGGGCAGGTATAGGTCTTCCCTGAGGTCGATGTAGGTGTAGGTGTCGGTGTAGGTATCAGTGTAGATGTCAGTGTAGGTGTCAGTGTCCTTCTGTGTGTAGGTGTTGGTGTAAGTGTCAGTGTAGGTGTCAGTGTCCTTCTGTGTGTAGGTGTTGGTGTCAGTGTCAGTGTAGGTGTCAGTGTCGGTGTTGGTGTTGGTGTCAGTGTATGTGTAGGCGTAGGTGTCAGTGTAGGTGTAGGTGTAAGTGTCAGAGTCGGTGTCAGTGTAGGTACAGGTGTCAGTGTAGTTGTAGGTGTAGGTTTCAGTGTAGGTGCAGGTGTCAGTGTAGGTGCAGGTGTAGGTGTCAGTGTAGTTGTAGGTGTAGTTGTCAGTGTAGGTGCAGGTGTAGGTGTCAGTGTAGTTGTCAGTGTAGGTGCAGGTGTAGGTGTATGAGTAAGGGTCAGTGGAGGTGCAGGTGTGGGTGTAGGTGCAGTTGTAGGTGTCAGTGTATGTGCAGGTGTAGGTGTAGGTGCAGGTGTCAGTGTAGGTGCAGGTGTAGGTGTAGGTGCAGGTACTGTGAGTAAGGTGTAGTACTCACTGAGGCGTACAGTCGGCCCTTGTCGTTCATGGCCAGGTAGCGCCCTGAGAACAGGCCTTTAATGGCGACCACACCCACCTCCACCGCCGTGATCTCCATGATGCCTGTGACACACACAAGGTTTAACTGTTGTAACAGTTGTAACTGTTTTAACAATCGACTAGTCGATGTAATTAGTCTTAAACCTTAACTCCCTATGCCGCCATCAGAGGGAGCAGAGTCTGCACTCAAAGCTCCCTGTAACTCCCTATGCCGCCACCAGAGGGAGCAGCATCTGCAGTTAGGGCTCAATGTAACTCCCTCTGCTGCCACCAGAGGGAGCAGCAAACACAGACATGTGATTGTATGACAAAAACTTTTTTTTGTCTCATAGTAAAGTCACAGTAAGAAAGTAATGTTTATTTATATAGCGCCTTTCACAGACCAGAGTCACAAAGCACTTTACAATTGCATTTGTCTCTCACTCCAGAGCAGTTGCCTACAGGGGGCGCTGCCAGACCTATTGTACAGGTTTCTAGTGGTACGGGGAGACCAGAGCACCAGAAGGAAACCGGAGCAGACACAGGGAGAACATGCAAACTCCACTCAGAAAGGCCAACCGGGATTCGAACTCAGGACCTTGATGTCACAGTGATGTCATAGTGATGTCATACTGGTACGATGACTGTTATAGGACTGGGAGGAGCTTTCAGACACATGGTGCGGAGCTCCAAGACAGAGGAGGCGGAGCTTTCAGACGGAGGGGCGGAGCTACATGTTTGTAACCAAACACAGCTGCAGGTGCAGTGTTGGAACATGGAGAAAAGACACGTCTCCTTTAAAGTGCACTACACCCCACGGTTCCAATCATTTTACTTTTTAGTTATTTTAACATGAAGATAAAGTTTGAGAGATCCTTTACTGGTCCCACAGAGAAATGTCAGTGTTGCATCCACAGTTACAGAATGAGGAGCTCACAGCACCAGATAAATGACTCTAAATACAAAAACATCTCTGACTACTTTTGTATCAACATAAAGCTGGGGTACGTGACTTTCAACCCGAAAAACAGAACAATAAACCTATGTCTCAATTCAACTTCATTCAAATCATTTTTGCACAGTCCTGAATAACAGCAGTTCTCTCAGAGCACTTGTTGATTCGCCAACACAGATCAGAGAATCAAACAGTTCTCATCATGTGTGTCTGTCTCGGTCACAGCTTTAGATCAAAGAGAGGATGTCAGCCCAAAGAGGCAGATTCTGACTCCCAGGGATCTCACACTGAATATAATATAATATAACATGTTTTCTAATAAGATGAAGACTGTTGTGTCCGATTAGTTCATGTTACTTTTTCTGTTGGACCAACTCCATTATCTATGACACGCTTAGGTGCCCATGCGTGACCCGTGCGTAAGCCCATAGGTGACCCGTGCGTAAGGCCATGCGTGACCAGTGCGGAAGCCCCTGTGTCAGACTCACTGTAGGGGTTGTGCTCCTGCAAGGACCCGTCGATGCGCCCGCTCTCCTGGATCTGCAGGTGGAACTTGGTGGCGCAGTAAAGCTTCCTCCTGCGCGGTGCTCCTCCGAGGTGCTCGTACACTCCTCCTCGGCCTCCCGCATCTCTGCGCGGGCGGGGGTCACACCGGGCTCCGCAGGGCTCCACGCCACGAGCGGCCCCCCATACGGGAGCTCCGAACCCCAGCAGCAGTAGCAGCAACAGCGGCATCAGCAGCATCGTGCCACGGTCCTCTCCAGACGCGCAGAAAGAGTCCCGAGCGCGCCCATGAGGGAAGCCGCGGGACGGAGACAGATATATGACAATAATCACGTTATGGATCCTTCTGTCGGTCTCAGGTGATCTCAGTCAGTCCTCAGGGATTCAACAGTCCAACTGTTTAGACTGGTTCAACCCAGAAGAGGAGAGTGGTGGGAGAGAGGGGGAGAGAGCTCAGAGAGAGTTGGAAGATTCTCCAGAGGTTCCAATAACTATGAGTTTCCTCAAACCTGCTGCTCTGATGAACTGTCTTTAAATAAGAAAGAACGCGCTGAAAGTGAAGAGACTATAGATCCAATCGGAACGAATGAAAAAAAGGTTAAAATCCAGAAGAAAAATCCTCGAATCGAGTCTGAAGCAGGTCTGAGTCCGCGCCTCCAGAGATGTGGCTGGACCCACACTGAGCTCATGTGAAAGAGGCGAGCGGCGACAATGGGCTAAACTCAGACCCACTGATGGGCGGGAGGGGGAGGAGGGTGGGGGAAAGGTATCAGCCCCGTGTGAAGTGAAGGGAACCGAGGGAAGAGGGAAGTGAACGAGCCGGCCTGAAATTACTCCACCCTCCCCTCTCCTCCGAAGAGCCCAAAAGAGCAATTAGGAGCGTCCCTGGAATGAGGGGAGGGCAGGCAAAAGTGTGTCAGCCGCACGCGGGCTTAAAGCTGGGGTCCCAAACTTCTGTGACGCATGAATAATACATGTAGTTTAACTGAACAATCTGAGCACAATCTCAGATACATGTGAGACACTATGTCACCCTTTGGGCTGAGACCTGATTGGTTGAGACCTGATTGGCTGAGACCTAATTGGCTGAGAGGGGGGTACTCTCTCTTTTCTGTCTGACAAAGCTGATGTAAAGCAGCGACAGAGACAGAAATACATGAAACTAATGCAGCAACTGTTTTGAGGCAGAACTACAGACCTCCTGATACCTGTTTTGAAAGTTAGGTACCTGAGCTTTAGAGACAAAGGTACAAAGCATTATGAGACGTGGCTCCATGACAGCTGTCCCTCTGTTCTCTCGTCCCGTTCTCAAGCTGTCCTCCCACCACACACTGTGTCCCCTTTCTATACAAGTGTCTCATTTACTACACACACACACACACACACACACACACTCACACACACACACACACACAAACATACATACACATACACACAAACATATACACAAACAAATACACACACACAACATATACACGCACACACACACACACTGGTGTGCTGCCGTACTCAGTATTGCTCCTCTCGGCTCATCACGGTCCACTTCCCGCTGAGTCCCAGTCTTTACACCACATCAGAGTAAACGAGGCTCTGCAGGCTCCGCTCAGACCACAGCCAGAGACAGGACCTTTTTGTCTTTTTTCGTTATCGACTTGACCCCTGTGCTCTTGTCACCTTCACTAGACCTGAAGGAACCACACCACAGTGTGACATCACCACAGTGTGACATCACCACAGTGTGACATCACAGTGTGACATCAACACAGTGTGACATCAACACAGTGTGACATCACCACAGTGTGACATCACCTCAGTGTGACATCACAGTGTAGCCTTGATGCAAAAGAAGCGGATGTGAACATAAGCTGGAGCCAGTTTCCTTATTTGGGCATTGGTTCTGATGGCAGACGTGTTACTATGGCGGTTGCTAAAAAAAACTGAAGTTTCCCTTGAATGAAGATCTCTGATTGGTCAGTCCTTATATGGTCATATGTGGCTCTCCGTGATCCACATATGACCACAAGACTAAACTGGGCCTAACTCTGTGTCTGTGTTTCTACTCTGTGTCTGTGTTTCACCATGAGCACTTCCCTATTGGGCTGTATTGAAATAGCGGGTTAGCATTGTCCATCTGTATACAGTCTCTGGTCTGGGCCTGGGTCTGGCCTGGGTCTGGTCTGGGTCTGGGTCTGGTCTGCGGGTCTGGTCTGGGTCTGGTCTGCGGGTCTGGTCTGGGTCTGGTCTGCGGGTCTGGTCTGGGTCTGGTCGGGGCCTGGGTCTGGTCTGAGTCTGGGTCTGGGTCTGGGTCTGGGTCTGGGTCTGGCCTGGGTCTGGGTCTGGTCTGGTCTGGGCCGCGGGAAAGCCCAGTGCTGCAGACTTCCCTCCCACAGCTCGGTGGGCGGAAGAGTAAATGGCTGGAGCCTAAATTGCTTCCATCTTGGTCACATTACGGTGAGTTGTGGTAATTAGCATCATCTACAACTGTGCCCTGTGGCTGTTCCCCCCCCGGAGACCCACCCCCCCGGAGACATGCCGGGTCAGTCCTCTTCCCCTCCATACATCACGGAGCACGGTGACACCTCAACGACTCACAGGGACTAAAGCTCAGGTACTTGACTCTGACCCAACCACAGGAAGTGAACACATGAGACAGAGCCCTGGGAGCTGATTGGCCGAGAGAGGGGGGGGTCCTCTCTGTGACATCACACTGGAGACAAACGCAACAGTTTGGATCCAGAACCACTTCCGTTTTGTGGATTGAAAGTTATGTTTTGTTTTTTTATTTTTTAGAAAAACAAGATTAATCAAAGAGATGAGGAAATCACAAACTCGTTATAAAGTCTCAGTCCTGGATCTACAGCCTCAGTCCTGGATCTACAGCCTCAGTCCTGGGTCTACAGCCTCAGTCCTGGATCTACAGCCTCAGTCCTGGGTCTACAGCCTCAGTCCTGGATCTACAGCCTCAGTCCTGGGTCTACAGCCTCAGTCCTGGATCTACAGCCTCAGTCTTGGGTCTACAGCCTCAGTCCTGGGTCTACAGCCTCAGTCCTGGGTCTACAGCCTCAGTCCTGGGTCTACAGCCTCAGTGTTTGTTATTATTACATTTCCAGTTTGATTTTCTGATCTGTTGTTGGTGAATCCACAACTTTGTAAAGTCCTCAGAGGCTGCAGTGGTTTAGTGCAATACATAAATACATTAAACTGTTTCCACACTAGTTATTACACATGCGTGTGTGTCTGTGTGTGTGTGTGTGCACTTGTTTTCAACTCCTGGTGGGTTCCATAACCTGAGATTCCACTCACGTCATGGGGACTGGTTTTACGTGGTGGGGCCCGAACACCGGACCCCACTGGTCCAAGCTTAATAATCAATGGGTAATGCTTTTCTAACGGTCCTTATGCAGTCTCTGTAAAAATATGGAAAGGACCCCTGGAGGTTTACTTTCCTGAAAAAAGTGTGTTATGTGTCGGAACCCTGGTGGTGGGTTGCGGGATATCAAGGAGGGGCACACTGGGGCAATTTCAGTCCAGCAGGCTGGAGCCAATCATGGAGCAGCACAACAGAGGAAATCAGGTGTCAGGCTAGAAAAAGGTGCAAGTGTGTGGTTCATTAGGCTGCAAGAAATCATGGAGGAGCACACTGAAGCGCACGCTTACAAACCACTGGTAAGTGCTGACTACAAGTCATGACTTCAAATTGTTATATAGAATGATTACAAATTATTTGTTGTTTGTGCAGCTTAGTCAAGAGTCCCTAATTGATGAAGTCGACTCAGATTCTGACGATTTAACTGTCAAGAAGAAACCTGTAAAAAAGTATGGAAAAAGAAAAATCAAAAACACTTTTCTTCAAGACTCGGAAAGTGACGAACCAAAGGCAAATAAGATTGTTATCATGCAGCTGCAAAAGAAGAAAAATGGGGGGCGAGTATACAGCAAGAGACACTTCTGCCTCTACTGTTCAATGTCCTGCCACAAAATGTCCCGTCATTTGACTAGAAAACATGGAAATGAAAGTGACGTAGCCAGAGCATTGGCTCTACCTGTGAAATCTAAAGCACGTAAACTTCAGTTTGATTTGATCAGGAATAGTGGAAACCGTGAGCACAATTTTGAGGTTTTAAAGGCCGGCATTGGAACTTTAGTCCCAGCTAAACAGCCAAATTGCCCAGTTAAATCCAGTGAGTTTTTGCACTGTATAGACTGTGGGGCATTGCTTAAGCGAAAGTCGCTGTGGAGGCATGTGGCCAGGTGCCGGCTTTCACAGAAAGATGCCCAGGCTAAACCAGGTAGAAGTAGGGTCCAGTCCCTCTGCTCCCTAGCCCAGCCTGTACCGGAGGGCATCAGCAAAAAGCTGTGGTCTTTAATTTCGGCAATGCATCAGGATGAGGTCACGGGTGTTGTCAAAGCAGAAAAGGGGATTCTGAGACTCGGAGAGCACCTGTACTTAAAACACGGGCATGATAAGACAAAGCATGATTACATTAGGCAGAAAATGAGAGAAGTCGGTAGGTTAATTAACGAAGCAAAAACCGCAGGGAAACTGAAAACAATTAAGGATTTCTTTATTCCTTCCAACTTTAACCATGTGATTGATGCAGTCAGGTCTGTGGCTGGATATGATGAGGAAACAAATCAATACAAGACTCCATCCTTGGCCCTCAAACTCGGCCATAGCCTCAGAAAGCTAGCAGATATTCTTGAATGTGACTCAAAAATGGAGCATTGTGTTGATGAACTATTTATTAAAAACCTCCAACGAAGCCGGCTGCTTTTTGAGAAGAGGTGGGACGTCTGTGTTTCTTCTGCTGCCCTACAGACCCTCCGGCAAGCCAAGTGGAACACTCCGGACCTGCTCCCTCTGACTGAGGACGTTAGAGCCATGCATGCACATATTGAGGTATGTCGACCTGAATATGTGCAAACCCTAATAAGTGAGCCAACGTCTAAGCATTGGTCTAAACTGGCAGTTTTGACTCTTTGTGAGGTCATCATTTTCAATCGAAGAAGGGAAGGTGAGGTTTCAAAGATGCCACTGACAGCCTTTACCTTAAGAAGTAAGACTGGGATCCATTCTGACATTGCTCTGGGACTGTCCCAACTTGAGAAAAAGCTGTGTCAGCATTTTCAACGCATTGAAATTAAAGGGAAAAGAAGTCGGAAAGTGCCGGTTCTTTTGACTCCTGAAATGATTGCTTCGATGGAGGTGCTGGTGGAGAACAGAAGGGCCTGTTCCATCT